GGAGAATGGCGTGAACCCGGGAGGTGGAGCTTGCAGTGAGCTGAGATCGTGCCACTGCACTCCAGCCTGGACAACTCCACCTCAAAAAAAAAAAAAAAAAAAAAATTCAATGTGACAAAGGCAGAGAAAAGCTGTGAAATTCTTCCAGATTAAAAAAGGCTAAGGAGAAAGAGGCAGTCAGGGGCAGAGCCGACCTGGAGGCACAGGACACTGGCTGAGATGGGACAGGGTCAGATTTACTTGTGGTAAGAAGTGTCCTGGGCTACCTGGAAGACGTCCTGAGGGAGCGCATGCTCTCACACCGCGACCCCCAGAAACATTCAGAGGTGACAGGAGCGATGACAGCCACAGGTCTCTGGGCCTCGAGTGCTCATGGGGCTGTTCTTATTCTCGTGACTTTTCTGGAAGCATGAAATTATTTCCAAATAAAAGCCTAGAAATCAGGGCTGAACAGCGGCTCACGTCTGTGATCCTAGCACTTTGGGAGGCCTCGACCTCCCAAAAGGATCACTTGAGCCCAGGAGTTTAAGATAAGCCTGAGCAACAGACCTCATCTTTACAAAAAATTGAAAATCAGCTAGACGTGGCGGTGCGTGCCTGCAGTCCCAGCTACTCGGGAGGCTGAGGTAGGAGGACTGCTTTAGCCCAGGAATTCAAGGCTGCAGTGAGCTATGATTGCGCCACTGCACTCCAGCCCGGACAACAGAGTGAGACCCTGTCTCCTAAAAAAATAAATAAATAAGAAAGTCAAAAATTAGAAAGATAAAAACGAGTCATGGCGACCCGCATCTGCAGGCTCGCAGGCCAGAGCCCTGAGGGCAGTGCTGTGCACATGTGGCATCGGCCGCCCCGGCCTTGGGAAGAGCCAGCGACCCCACGGAGAATCCTGCACGCACGCTGCTTTCTCTAAAGGAAGAAAGCAGTTCTACCCACTCCTGAGGCCCGGGTAGCTCCGTAGGTCGGTCGGCTCCTTACCGAGTGCTCGACCCTGGAATCCTTGACTCCGGCAGGTCGACATTATGGCTCCTGCACTCGTAGTCCTGTGTCTGGGACATCGCTGTCTGCTTCCTCGCCGAAGTGGACAGACGTCAGGGCATCATCGGGACAACCCCAGCATCAGACGGGAAGGTGCTGCACTGCAAGAGGGGAGAAGCAACAGTGCTGATTTGGAAAATGCCTCACCACACCAACCACCCAGCTGAGCCCGTCGCCACAGAGTGGCTGGACAGAATGAAGATGGACTCCACAGCACCCGTGAGCCGTCCCCAGGCAGCCAACCCCACTCCTCAGTGCTGTTGATGTCTGGCCCTGCATTGCAGCAAAGCCTGGCCAGTCTCCCACACAGCAGGGAGACTGTGCCCACAAGCCAGGATCCAGCCCATGTCAGCCTGAGACACCACCCCCACTCCCCGCTGGGCCGGGGCAGGCACAAGCCAAGCATGGCAGGACCGTGGGACCACAGGACTTGAGGACTGGGAGGAGGGTGAACAGGAGGACAAGCACCTGCTCCGCCCTCACTCTCAGCCCCACATCTGAGACTCAGTGTCCCCAGCTGTCCACACAGGCGACACTTGCCGGCAGTCACTGGGGAAGGACGCAGGACCACACGCATACAGCGTGCACAGCCATAGCACAAGGGCGCTCAGGAGCAATCCATGTTCACACGGATCACCTGAATTCTGAGAACAGTGCTGTATTCACCAGGTATACAGTCCATTCTTGAAAACCACAGGTCTGAGCTAGGAGGGTCACCTATATGCGGATTTTCTTCCTCCTCTGCCTCCCCTGAGACAGCACAACCAACCCCCTTCCTCCTCCTTCTCCTCACCCTACTCAACGTGAAGGCGACGACGATGAAGATCTTTAGCACTTCCACGTAATGACAGTAAATCTGTTTTCTCTTCTTTATTATTTTCTTACTACCATTTTCTTGTCTGACTTTATAGGAGAAGTAGAGTAGATGTTACAATAGCATACAAAATGCATGCGAATTGACTGTTGTTATCCGAAGGCTTCTCATCAACAGCAGGCTGTTTGTAGTTAACAGGAGGAGGAGGAGGAGGAGGTGGTGGTGGCGGCAGCGGTGGCAAGTAAGACATGGGTTTTTGACCACCTGGTGGGGGTCAGCGCCCCAAACCCTGAGTTATTCAAGGGTCAAGTGTGAAAAAAATTAATCTTGGACCTTTACCTCATCCAATCTCGTACGTAAAACTTAACTCTAGATGCACCGTAGGCCTAAATGTTAAAAGTAAAATAATAAAGCTTTTGGAAAGAAATGTAGGAGAAAATCTTTGTGGCCTTATAGTAGGCACAGATACCTTAATTGGACACACACAAAAAACAATGCACAAAAGAAAAATCAACAAATTGGACTATAGTAAAATTAAGAACCTCTGTTTATCAAGAAACTATTAAGAAAAAACAAAAAGCACATCCTAAGTGGGACGTATTTGCTACACAGAACATGTGTAATGTGTGTGTAATCTGACAAAGAGCCACACCCTACCAGTAAGGAAGGAAATCAGCCGAGTGTGGTGAAGCATGTCTATGGTCCCAGCCACGCGGGCAGAGGAGGAGGGAGGATCGCGCCACTGCACTCCGGCCTGGGCGACAGAGCGAGACCCTGTCTCAAAA